CAGTGTCCAGAGTTAGGATAGAGTGGAAAGATAACCTAACTGATCCCATCACAAGGGGTTCCACCAGGTAAACTTATTGGCCCCTTTCCTTTCTAATTTGTTAAAGAGGCTGTGGTTATTTTAGAAGGGTCGCAGTATTTTACCCTCAAAATTTTGGACTGATTTGTGTCAAGTCCTTCCTTATTCAGATGACAGGATTTTGCTGTCTCAGACTCCACTGGACTTGAAACATTTGTTAAGGGATTGTAGCTTTTTGCCTGACCATAAATTATAAGAAAATGAAAGTAATTTCCTTTGGCCACAGTCTACATACCAAAACAGCATAAATAGAAGACTGATGGCCATTATATTGAACAGGTCAGGTTTTTCCCACCTTTTGGGTATTTGTTTCATATATAATGACCAACGAGACCAACACACAGAGGAGAGCCTTAAGTTATGTGCAAGCAGTGCTTCGTTTCATCCATGTCCATGGGGGCAATTTAATAGCAGTGCCCAAATATTATATGGTTAGGAAATCTGGGGCTGAAGAGATTTTAATTGCTAAAAGTTTGTGCAAAACAAATTTTTAAGAAGAATGCTTGGCCTCCCAACTTACAGCTCAGTTGCTTTACTTAGGGCACAGGTAAGAGAATTCACCTCTTTGATCAAAGCTCAGTACCATTATAGCACTTACAGGCTGTGTATTCTGCATATAAATTTAGAGCACCTAACAAGGTAAAATCTGGAGGAACAGCTTAACAAGACATAAACTTTAGACTTCCTCTAGTTTTTGCAAGCCCATTTCTTGGAATTTTCAGAACTTGACCTGACTAGGACTGTGTGCAAGAGTGTGAAATCTGTAATTAAGCTTAGAATAGAAGATATTTACACACATGTGGATATGTCAGTCATCCATCAAATAAATAAGTCCCCTTGGCTTCCTCCTCTAAAGAACATTCATAATTATGAGAAATATTTGGCTATTTTGAACAACACTATGTTACGGAAGGCCTTTTCAGCTCTCCATTTTCTCCCTATTTGCAGTTGGCCTATTTAGAAAGGAGGTATGCTGGAACTGAGAGACAAAATCATTTTTGCCTATGTAGGTCTGACCAACCTGAAGATTTACCAGACTATCTACTTTCTTTTAATCTCCATAACTTGTCTTAGAAGCCTTTTGCTGCACCAACTCAAAAACTAGCATACTCACTATGTAATGAAAATGTTTTGGTTATATGGGCTGTCACTATATTTGCCTCATTGGCAGCAAAACCAAGAAAATATATGTGAAGGAAAAAGTTCCTTATAATCTAAATGAACCAATGAATTTCTAACCTTTGTTATCTTATTTTTATATGTTGATGGAGGGGGGAGGAAATTCTTAAAACATGTAACTGATTCTTGGAGAAGTGCCGATCTTATGTTTTTGTTTATTTTACTAAGTTGTATTGATTTTAAATTTTTTATTTTGCTAAAGCTAAGGTTCTAAATTAATAAACTTGACTTTGCCTAAATAAGTAACATTCAAAAATAACAAATCGTGTTAAAGAAATACTTGTGGAAATGTCAATGTTTCTGAGTCAAAAATGGCTGTTATTTATTTCAGCATGGCTGACATGTCCTTGTGTCAGAAAGCTCCAGTGAGACAGAGAATTTTTTCTCATTGGAGAATACAGTCAACTTTGCATACCATTTTAAAAGACGGTATATATACTTTAAATTGGAAGGGTTGGGGGAAAGGGGTTATTTAGTGTACCAAGAGTTTTGTTTTAAAATTAACTTATTTTTATTTAGATTACAGACAGAAACTTCCATCCCCACAGCACATACACACCCTTCTATTGATATAGTTCTCCTAAATTCCTTCCCCATTATCTACAGACAGAAAGACTGGGCTATTGGTATTTAAATTAAGCATGCCAAATTTTTGTATGAATATTTTGATTTCTTTTGTATAGTACTACTCCATACTACAGACAACTCTTTTATTAATTATTGTGGAGTTAGAATAAAAGCTGTGGGAATTAAAACATTTCTGTTAGCAACTTGTTTTCCTTTCTTCTGCCACAAGACATGAAACTTGAAGAACATATCAATATTCAGAATTTACAACATATACAGTGCTCCCAAAACATAAACTCTGCCATGCTGCACATGCTGTAATTATAGTACACTTTAACACACAAAAATACGTTAAATTACATTTAACAAATGAAATGGGAATAGAAAACACTGCTTATGTGCAATGAGGCTGAGTTAACGTTACAGAAGCTAGCTTAGTTTTTGGAAATTCCTAACTTGATATATCTAACTTCAACAATGCACAATTACTAGTTTTTGCATTTTATTTCACTTTTTTAAAGGAAACAATGAAAAAGACAACTTCTGCAGTTCTTTAACTCAGGAACTTAAAAATACCATTGCAAACACCAATGGATATTGTAAATTCACTGATTCAGGACTAAAGACTCCCTGGTCATCTTATAAACTCTGCATGCTCCCAGTCATTCTAATGAAAGCATTTTAACTAGGGAATCTTTAAAAACCTTTAACTATTCACCCAAATTTATGAATACATGTTGAAATTTCCACAAAAAGAACCTTGTCAATTTCTTCTGAAATTGAAATTAGTGGGGGGAAAGTTTTCTATATCTCAATTACATGAACTTTTTGACTATTTGGAAACTTAGGTTCATGATGAATACTGATGCCCATTTATTAAGAAATGCCTCACATAGAGAATACATGCGTGAGCTGTACTGGCTTCCAATTAATTTCTTGGTAGAATTTCAGGTGTTCGCTTTTACATGTAAAGTCATAATTGATTTGGATCCAGGCAGCCCAAGGGCCTCTTTCCCTCTGTGATATTACTAAAGATGTGATCGCTGGGATGCTCTAATAGCTCTAATCAGATTTAAAAGAGACAGACAGATAGTAGGGTATTTTCTGTAAATAGTTCTTGATTCTCAAAGTCACTCCTACACTTAGCCTGACAGAGCCCAAGTTGTTAACTATTAGGGAACAGTGCAAGGTTCATGTAACTCTTCAGGATTTTTCATTGGTTTGATGAGGATTTTTTTTAAATGTCATGTTGCTTTATATTATTGAACTGAGACCTGGTTTGGAGTGGGTGAGCCGTTAATCCTTAAGCTGTACATACTTTGTTTTCTTTGTTTGCATAGCATTTACACCTTTAGGCACTTTTGGGGGAAAAATCCACTTGATTTTTAAAAAATTAAAATATTATATGGTAAATTCTTTCCCTTATATCATAACTTCATTTTTTGTCTCTCTCAAATACTTCTTCCTCTCTCCTTATGGACAATATGTACAGATTAGTCATACTGATTGCCAGTTGATGGTTGATTTGTGTGCTTTTCCTTTACTTTAAATTTGGTTTTAACATATTTCCATAAATATTTAATGACAAAATGGTATAAGGGAGGTGGCAGTGGAGGAGAGTTCTCTTCACAGGCCAAATCTCTCATTTCAAATCAAGGCCAATGACTGGAATCTGCACTATGCCTGTTTCTGGTCTGCAATATTCCCTAAACTGATGTGCTACTGGTCTTCAGCGGAGGATGCTGTGGAGCCACATTATCAAGTTTCAACTAGTCCAGCCCATACCATCGCCTGCCAAATGCTACATGCTTGCACCCAGAAAACCCCCTGGAAAAGTGCTCCGTGGTAGAGTCCTGCAGCAGGACTGGGATCCTGTGGGTCCTGCATGACCCGCTGCCATAATAGCAGGATGGGGTAAAATGTACTTCGTTGCAGGTGGGAGTGGGTGGGGGGGGGAAAAGAGTGCGGTAATTTGTAGGAAAATACTAAATCTCTCATCAGTTTGTCATAAATAGAATTTCAGAAATGTACAGGAAATTTTTCCCTTTTTTTAAAATAAAGGTTTTAATACTTAAATTTAAGTGGGGAATAAAAAGAGATTTGATGTCTATTACAACAAGAGTTAAAGCATTTTTTACATGGTTTAAGCAACATTTCTTTTATTCTTTCAGTGGTAAAAATTGTGTGTGAATTCTGTTTATATATATACACACAGTAAAAACTGTGTTATCCGGCACTTTACCAACTGGAAAGCTCTAGAAACCAGCATTTCTGATATCTCTGATTTCTGATCCGGGCGGTGTTCACCTCAGGCGGCTCCCTGCAAGCAGAAACATGTCCCTGCTGCTTCTTGGTGAAGGAACAGCTATGGGGGCTCCACCCACCCCAAGCACTGGGAACCATGGCTAATGGGAGCTGCAGGGACAGTGCCTGTGAACGGAGGCAGCCTGTAGAGCCTCCTGGCTGCACCTCCATCTAGGAGCAGCAGAGACATATCGACGCTTGCAGGGAGCCGCCTGAAGTGAACACCGCCCAGATCCGGCACTCCAAAACCCCTCCTGTGCCCCAAGCCCCTGCCCCGAGCCCCCTCCCGCACCCAAACTCACTCCCTCCACTGGTAAGTATAACTCTTAGTTAACTGGAATTTTTGATTAACCGGCACCCCTCATCCCCCGAACATGCCAGATAAAGCTTTTCCTAGCTTTGCCTGCATAATAAATTAACCACATTAACATTGTGGGGTTTGGGGTCTTTTTGTAGCATGAGGGAATCTGGCTCTCTTGCATGATTTGCATGATCTAAGGTTTTTGCAAGTGGGAGTGCGATAAAATGCAAGAAACAATGGAGGAGCTTTCTGCCATTTAGTTGATTGCTATACAGTAAACTAAAGACACATTCAGAGACTCTGCACTTTAGCCATCAAGCAACACAGTAGAATTTTGTTGTACAATTTCTTCAAATACTGTATATTGTAAGCACACAGAACCTTTTTTATTTCTGGAATAGCCATAGGTATATCATTCCTGAAAATTTACCTGCTATATAAAGTGATTACAACTGTGCTGAAGTATTTTATACATTTTCTAAATATGTACTTATTCTTAGGTACTTATTCTTTAAAAAAAAAAGTCTACATTTCCAACCTGAAAAAATTAAATAAAAAAAAATGTACATACCCAAATCTTTTTCTAGTTAAATATCCCCTTATCCATCTTTGAAGAATCACAACTGGTGAGTGATGAGCTAGAATGTGATTGATTTTTGAAATGATATCTTTTACCACATTTATATCCTCCTCAACGGTTGCTTCCTGTATGAATTCAAATGAAAATACGCTGAATATTGTGCCTTAAAATCTGTACTTCTCTAATAAATAATTTTGAAACAATGTATTTTAAAGGGATTATTATTTTAATTTTCATCCCATAGCTAACGATTGAAGGGGAAGAGCAAGGTCTTTTGCTTGAAGAAAACTTAAAACACGCAGAATAAAAAACTGTCAATTTTATTGAAACAAAGGTGAGAAATAATTTATAACCAGAAGCTGAGTCAGTAACCTCCTTCCCATATAAAATAAACACCTGTCGATGAGACTACTCTGCCTAGTGTAGAAATGTCATTCATTTTAAGTTACAGAAAAGCCATTTAGTGCTCTGAACATAAAGATAACCCTAGATTATTACAATATTATTGTTACTGTAGGACAATTAAAATACTGTTTTCTTTCTTCAGTAAAATATCGGAATAACTGAACAGGTTATGAATTATTAGGAATTATGAAAATGAGAATATAGTTTGATTATAAATACAATAAAAAGTAATGTAAAACAAGATACAGCTCAATTTTCTATAGAACTTCATCAAGCCTAAAATGAAAAAAATATATACTTCTCATTTTTCACAAAATTTTATGTCTCTTCTCAGCTACAGGCTCCACCTACTGAACTGTTTAATGGCTAAACCCACACGGAGTTGGCCTAAAATATAGGTTGCTACTTTATACAGCCTGCCGCAGTTACAAACATTCAAATTCAGACAATGTTACTTCCGTCAGACATATCTTCAGCAGTTACTCAAACGGACTGATAAAACTGGTTGTTTAATGGAGGTGATTTTCTATCATAAGTGGAGTAGAATTATACATAGTACATTTGGATATGCCTAGAAGAGGTCTCTTAAATCAGAAAGATGTCTTATAAGGGTGGGTTTCAAACAGATTTCAATATAAAAGCACATTAAAAATTTTCAAGCATGGCTTTATCATCATATCCTAGGTATAATTTAGAAAAATGATAGAAGGTAATATTTTCAGTGTCTATCCCTCCCCAGAATAGAACTGGTTCCTATTTCAGGGCCCAATACTCTAGCTATTACTAATGTGGGTAGTGCCAATGAAATCAAGTGGTGTCACCCCATTCAGTAACTTGGTGTTTGAAAGGTTACGTTTTCTACTGTTTTTAATTTTTCTATTGTAAACCATCCCAAGAAGCTGGGAAGTTAACTGCACAAATGTTTTGTCATTATAACCTTTTGCTACCACCTTCATTAAGACATAGTCCCATCTCCATTAAAATACTCCCATAAGAAGGAGGGGCAAATAGCATTCTTGAGAGGAGTTTTCCTATTGTCTGCATTTACTGAATGCTTTTTCTCAAGACATGTTAATACTTTAAGTTTCCCAGACTGTTTTCATCCAAATATATTTTGTCACCTTTGGGATTCTTTCTATGCTTTTGGAACTTCAGAAATGCAGGATTTACGAGCAGCAAAACCACCTCTGAAAGCTATTCCTCTTAGGGCAAAGATTGTGTTTTCAAAAACCACTTTAATAGCATTTATCAATTTCTTTAAAGTTATAAATTTTATTTTAGGCAAAAAATATCATAGGAAAACAGAATCCATTTTTATTTTAGTACATATGAGTTATGCACATCTCTTATCAGCACAGCTCCAAGTTGCACCTCATTTCTAGTGCATTGTAATGAAAATATTCATGTTTCTAGTTAGGTTTAACATGTTTGTCTTCCACTGCAAAAATCCACCTCTAATTGATGGAGGCTAGGAAGAAACATCCATGCATGATCTTGTACTGACTGTTGTCAGAGAGAAAGAATAGTAAACTACATGTTCTAATGGTCTGATCCACTGTCTCAATACCTATTTTCACAAAATGAGAGGTGTGTACATGCTCCATAGCAACCGTGCCAGAGAACAAACTATAATATTTGGATTCAGATAAGAATCTTAAATCTACCCCAGTTCAATGTTGTTCAGATCTAGGGTTTTGGCTCTGCATCATTGCTGATTAATATGTTACGATATTTTCAATTTTTGTTGTGATACAGCAGCTAATTGTCCTATTGAAATAGTAAATGATATTGAAGTTTTTGCGTCATATAATATAATATAGGATTATTACACTTCTGCTCCACAGATTTATTTTATGACATCAGTGTTGTGCAATTCTAGTACAAAAGTATGGCATTTCTTATAACACAATTTTTAACTACCAGTATGATGCATATTGAAGAGAGAAAAATGAGTGATTGATTATAAATAGACTCTGGACATTATTTGCATAAGCAACAGATTTCTTTCAATGGTATATGGTATAAAAAAATTAAATAAAACATAGTCATTTACAAAACATTAGTCATCAACCTTAGAAGACGTTAGCTTGGATGAATGAGTTTCTGACATGGTGCAATTATTATACATAGCCACTGTACATTTAGAAGTATTATATGGCAAATCAATGCTTATTGTCCTATATGCTGGTACTAAGATACGTTTTCTTATATATGACAGGTTTCAGAGTAGCAACCGTGTTAGTCTGTATCCGCAAAAAGAAAAGGAGGACTTGTGGCACCTTAGAGACTAACAAATGTATTTGAGCATAAGCTTTCATGAGCTACAGCTCACTTCATCAGATGCATTCAGTGGAAAACTTATGCTCAAATAAATTTGTTAGTCTCTAAGGTGCCACTAGTCCTCCTTTTCTTTTTTCTTATATATGTGTGTCAAGTTTTAACCTGTGTGACCCAAGAAACTCTTAATGCCAACTGACAAGGGCAGAGGAGTTGCTGGAATCTCCTGATTCTAGCACATACATTCTTGTTCACCAAATAATGTCATATGAGGTCTCAAATGAAAGCTGGTGTCATACTGGTCAACAGTATCATTGTGAAATGTATGTACAGGTACTACTGTGAGGACTAATGCATATATACTGAAAATATATTCTTAAAGTTTGTATCAAGATATTAGTCACCAGCAAAGGTGAAAAACATGTTGCTTTCTGTCAGACAGAGCATATCTCTCCACGTATCTGTTTATGTGTAAATTAAGTATTGTCTCATTCACAATGGGTCCCCTATCACCAGTCTTGATTAAGAAGGGTAAGAAAGAACTTCAGAAAGGATCTAATAGTAAGTGAAATACAGTAGGGCAAGAGAACCTTATTATCGTGAGCTGTACATTAGAGGTTTGCTTGACTATATTTGAGAGACAAAATAGACACCCTGGCACCCTTTACTTAGGAAGAAAAAGAACAGTGTTTTTGCATCATGCAAAAGGGGTCTCAATCAGTGTTTGAAATGCTAAAGAGAATTTTCGGTGAGTTAAGCCTCTTTAGACAAATGAGTGACTTGTTAGTTTAGTTTAATCTCTAGAAAGCATGTTATTATTTTGATTTACATATAATCATTTGTTTCCAGTATTCTTACTCACTATTACTTGAATCTCTATTCTTTCACAATAAACTTGTTCTTGTTTTCACTATAGATATATGTAAATGCTGTGGTGCAAAGCAAAATGTTGAATCTTATGAGCTGGTGTGTACTGCTCCTTTGGAAATAGCAGGCCTGGTAATTCTGTGAGTGTTCAGTGGATAAGGGGCTGGACACTAGAGGTAACACACCGAATATTCGGGGGTTAGTGCGGAACGTAGTACTTGTGCTGCCAAAGACTGGTGGTTTCAGGGAGCTGATCTACAGCGGACAAGACTATGCTAAGGGCAGGTAGTTATGAGATGCCTCACAACCCTAGTACTCGTGGGGAGCGACACAACCTGTTCGAAATGTTCATATACTGTATGACAGACTACTGAATTTTGTTTTTGATCAAAGCATAGGACTACAATGGCAAACCAATGAGAGTGTACTATATAGACAGACTAAGCATTTTTATTACATACAACTGTTTTAATATATAAATGCTTTATTCTAACCAAAAAATATGGAACACCGTTTTAACACAGCTATCATAAAATGTATAAAGATCAGTGCAACACAGTCAAATAAAACATTAACATTTTATTAATGAATATCTAGTATAATTTGATGTAATATAATTGCTTACCTTTCTAGGAGCATGGCAAAAATCAAGGAAAAAGCTAGGGCTAAATGGTTTATATTTGGGGGGAAGCTTCCAGTTCTCAACAATTTCCTCATCAGAAATTACATAGTAATCCAGTGCTTTGAGTGAGAAAATACTGTTAACAACAATATGCCTATATTCAATTCTTAGACTCAGAGGAGTATCAAACAAGGTGAGGCCTATCAGATTAGGACAGAAAGATAACGAATGCACATTATCCAGTTTTCCAATTCCATTGTCATGAAGATAGAGTAAATTTAATTCCTTCATGCCTTCCCAAAACGTTGGGCCAGGAAGATGCTGTACCTGAAATAATGATGAAAATGAAATTTTGAATTGTGTAGTTTATTGGATCCTACACTATAAAATGCCACAGTGACCAATACAGTCTCTATGTAAGTAGCTGCAACTCCACTGACTACACCAGGGCTGTATCTGGACCCTAATTATTATTTAGAGCTGCTGCATGATGTGACCAGGATGTTACCAAATACGTAACCCTCCCTGGGCATCACGGCTATGAGCTATATCAATGTAAAAAGGTTAAACATTTTGGAGCTAATTATTAGTTACAGTGTCATAAGTTCACATATCTATCAAACCGCACAAATCCCCACAAACCACATTAGGCAGCAATTTTGGATTTGCTTCTTCTGAACTTTGTTTTTCAGCATCTTTCTGTTTGTGGCTTGTATTAACAGATCTCCAGCACACAAAAAAGATCAGAAGGCCAAATCTAGTTGAAAACTTTTGCTCCATGAATTGAAAAGACATTTCCAATGCCACATGCCAAAGGCTTTATTCCCAGTAGATGACACTTTTTCAACACAAGAAGAATAGATTTTTCTATTTCCCAGAAAAACAACAAAAAAACCCAGTTCCAATCTATTATATTTTAAGAGTATTAATGGAATAGAACCATGCAAAGGAAGATATGTACCAAAGATAAACAAAAAATCTTAAGAGTAAATTCAATAATAATGTGAACATAAGAACGGCCATATTGGGTCAGACCAAAGGTCCATCTAACCCAGTATCCTGTCTTTCGACAGTGGTCAATGCCAGGTGCCACCGAGAGAATGAACAGAACAGGTAATCATCAAGTGATCCATTCCCCGTCACTCATTCCCAGCTTCTGGTAAACAGAGTCTAAGGACACCATTCCTGCCCATCCTGACTAATAGCCATTGATGGACCTATCCTCCATGAATTTATCTAGTACTTTTTTGAACCCTGTTATAGTCTTGGCCTTCACAACATCCTCTGGCTAGAAGTTCCACAGGTTGACTGTGCATTGTGTGAAAAATTTTGTTTGTTTTACACTGCTGCCTATTAATTTCATCTGGTGGCCCCGAGTTCTTGTGTTATGAGAAGCAATAAATAACACTTCCTTATTTAATTGTTAACTATTCCCCAACAATTTATGTTCATCTATGTGTTTGACAATTTTGTTATTTACTACGGTTTCAACAGTTTCCCCGATACTGAAGTCAGGCTTACTGGCCTGTAATTGCCGGGGTCACCTCTGGAGCCCTTTTTAAAAATTGGCATCACATTAGCTATCCTCCAGCCATTTGGTACAGAAGCTAATTTAAAGGATAGGTTACAGACTAGTTAGTAGTCCTGCAATTTCACATTTGAGTTCCTTCAGAACTCTTGGGTAAATACCATCTGGCCTTGGTGACTTATTACTGTTTAGTTTATCAATTTGTTCCCAAACCTCCTCTAATGACACCTCAATCTGGGACATTTCCTCAGATTCATCACCTAAAAAAATGGCTCAGGTTTGGGAATCTCCCTCACATCCTCAACCGTGAAGACCGATGCAAAGAATTCATTTAGTTTCTCCGCAACTGCTTTATCATCCTTGAGTGCTCTTGCAGCATCTTGATTGTCCAGTGGCCCCATTGGTTGTTTAGCAAGCTTCCTGCTTCTGATGTACTTAAAAAAAAATTTGCTATTACTTTTTGAGTCTTTGGCTAACTTTACTTCAAATTCTTTTTTGGCCTTCCTAATTATATTTTTACTCTTTATTTGCCAGTGTTTATGCTCCTTTCTATTTTCCTCACTGGGGTTTAACTTTCACTTTTTAAAGAACAGCATCCCAAAGGAAGCAGTGGAAGCCCTACTGTTTTAATCATTTAAAACTAGACTGGACAAAGCATGTTAACGTACAACAGGGAACAATCCTTTAATAATGGGAGAAAACCAAGGGTACGTCTACACTGCAATTAAAAACCCACAGCTGGCCCATGCCACCTGATTCGGGTTCGCAGGGCTCAGTTAATTTCTGGGTAGAAGTCCGGGCTCGGTCTGAAGCCCAAACTCTAGGACCCTACTAGGTGGGAGGGTCCCAGAACTTGGGCTGCACCCTGAACCGGAACATCTACACCACAATAAAACAGCTCCGCTTCAAGAATCAGCTGACAAGGGCCAGCTATGGGTGTCTAATTCCAGTGTAGATATACCCTAAATGGCCTATCTTAGCGGGTCTTTTCCACTGCTAACACCTATGCATTAGACCAGTGGTTCCCAAACTTGTTCCGCCGCTTGTGCAGAGAAAGCCCCTGACGGGACGGGACGGTTTGTTTACCTGCCGCGTCTGCAGGTTCGGCCGATCGCGGCTCCCGTGGTTCACTGCTCAAGCCAATGGGAGCTGCTGGAAGCAGCAGCCAGTATGTCCCTCAGCCCGTGTCGCTTCCAGCAGCTCCCACTGGCAAGGAGCAGTGAACTGTGTCCATTGGGAGCCGCGATCGGCTGAACCTGCAGACGCGGCAGGTAAACAAACCGGCCCGGCCCGTCAGGGGCTTTCCCTACACAAGTGGCGGAACAAGTTTGGGAACCACTGCATTAGACAATGCATGGAAAAATTTTATTGGGAAAAACTCCATTTCATGCTATCACTCTTCAGTCAACCAAATTCTATATTTATATAATTTTGACAGACCTTTATGAATTCATATGCAGAGGTGTTGAGCTATTATTATTATCATCACTTAAGACTTAAGTTACAGTAATGCATAGAGGCCCCAATAAGAATCAGAACCCCCTTGTGGTAGGTGTTGTTCTAGAAAAAAGTAGACATTGGGTGAAATCCTGGCCCTATTCAAGTCAATGGCAAAAATCAAATTGTCTTCAGTGCAGCCAAGATTATACCAACTGTTCCTGAACAGATATTTTTAGAGTAAAAATCTAAAATATTAAATCAGAAGAGCAACTGCTATGTACAAATAATATTGTTAAATTCTGCATTTAAAATCTAAATTGCTTCTAAGAAATACTGGGGAAACACACAAGTTTACGGATAAATTTACTTCATTGAACTATTCTGTTTTGCATATCTCCAAAACAACTGTTTACCTGATTTCCATGGAGATCCAGCTTAACCAAATGAGTACAACATTCGAGTGCATCAATATTTGTAATATAATTATTAGACAGGATGCATACTTTAAGCAAAACACAGTATTGCAAATGTCTCACATTCTTTAAATATAGCCCATTTAACTGAACTATAGCAAGATCTTTCAGCTTCTTTATGTGGGCTTGACTGGTAGTTTGTCCATATTTGAGTAATAAATTTTCAGAAGTAGAAACAAGGTGTTCAGTTAATTCCTCCATGCCTGGTTATCTGCTTTGTGGTTCATCCACAAGAGATCTAAGAAAAGAAGAAGGACTACACAGTAGGTTGCATTTATTCAACTTTCAGAAGAAAAATTTCAAATACCCCAAATACATATCCAACTGTCTGTTACAACACTGCTTGCTCTGTAAAACACTACACATCCACGGGGGCGGGGGGACCTCTTATGGGATTAATTTTAAAACATAAAAGTGAATGAAAAAGTGTAAGTGCATGTTATTAGTATATAGCACATTTTATTCCAAAGGAACCCAAAAAGTGCTTTGCAAACTGTAGGCTTGATTATGCAACCCTTTATATTTTGTATTCACTCAGTCAAGCAGTCAATGAACGGTACATACATACATGTATTGAGCTGTTTATTAGTTGATCCTCCCTGTTAACATGAGTACGGGTTGTAGGGATGAATTCATACAGCTGCTAAAATGCAGCCACCTTGGAAGTGAGGCAATGTTTAAGAATGCACAGCAACACAACACAATAAATTAGACAGGAAAAAACAAAGAATAATATTAGCCATTGAAACTGCATGGAGAAATTTGTTGGCAGAATGCAACTTCCTGAGTTACAATCTAGTTAGGATACTAGTGCTAACAGTCCTGCTCTTACAAAAAAACTGCTTTGAATTCTTTAATAACCACAAATGGTGAACAACTCTGGTTTACATCTTATCCAAAAGAGCGCACCTAGAGCAGCACAAATGTCCCTGTTTCTTAATGAATCATCAATATCACAGCTAAGACGGTTTTCTTTTCAAATACTGAGACAATCCAACACTTTACTGTATGACATTTGCTGGAATCTGGCACAATTTGATGTGGTTTTATTGATAAAGGTAGGAATGTCCCTTTAGTTGAAATTATCTTTTTTTCAAAAAATGTAACTGCAAAGAACAGCTGGATTCAACAATATTTTTGGACTTTGATTATTGTAACATAAGGAATGCACACAAATGTATGAATTATCAAATTAAATTAATGCCACAATATTAAAAATAAGTATAGCTATATTTTACTCCAATATTAGGGATCTAATTATACATTCAAAGATTTCAGTTGAACAGAAATCATATTATTGTCAGTAAACCTTTCATGAGTTTTATATCTTCAGCAGTTTTCTAAATTCCTTGTAAATTATCATATATTTTTAATCACACTGTGAAAACTGCTTCTATAGAGTATAGTGCATACTAGTTACAACAGACACCACTCTACTCTCAACCTTTATTCATTATACACAATTAGGTGAAGTACATGTGGCAGAGGTGTATGTGAAGGACACAAGGTTTGAATAAATGAGAGCCTATGACAGGGATCGGCAACCTTTGTCATGCGGCCTGTCAGGGAAATCCGCTGGCAGGCCGGGATGGTTTGTTTACCTGCAGCATCCACAGGCTTGGCCGATCGCAGCTCCCACTGGCCGTGGTTCGCTGTTCCAAGCCAATGGAGGCTGCGGGAAGTGGTGGACAGCACATCCCTCTGCCCTTGCCGCTTCCCACAGCCCCCATTGGCCTGGAACAGTGAACCACGGCCAGTGGGAGCTGCGATCGGCCGAACCTGCGGACGCTGAAGTTAAATAAACCGTCCCGTCCCGGCAGCAGATTTCCCTGACGGGCCGTGTGCCAAAGGTCGCCGATCCCTGGTCTATGATAAAGTATTAAACAAGATTGCAAATCATTCTCCAGTTCAGAAGGATGGGAATTTTCTCCTAAAGGAACTATTCCATCTGGAAAGAATATAATACATGAACATTTGCTGGCTATCTGTTGAGGGTACTACACTGTTACAAGAGGCACTTATTACTTAAAATGTTTATCTATTACCTGGAACATGCTTTAATCCATTTTGTACAATGTACTTTTGAACAAGTATATAGTATTCATGAAACATGGCAAATTAATGGGATCCATTAATAATGTTACATTTCTGCCAACTAGCAGAACAGAATGAAAATGGTACTAAGAACCTAAAACTCCGGGAACATTCACCTTATTATAAACAAATCGTATAATTATATCTGCAACAGTGAATGAAGGATCCAAACTCTCTCTCACTGACATGAATGGAAGTTTTGCCATGGCTTCAATGGGAGTCTGAGTCTGGAAAAATAACTAAGTATGCATTCTATAAAAGCACTTCATGCTTTTACCTACATTTACTCAGTAATGTGGGAAGACTAAGAAGGGTCAAAAGGATTACTTATACTGAGCAAAGAAAGTAATTTTTAAAATTATTTTTTAAAAAGCTTTTTCGATCTATATTGCCATGGTGATGATAAACTCTATTTAATGAATCACTGAAAAAGTTTCATAATTCCAGGTCAGTAGCACTTTGATATTTTAGGGTCCATCAGCATTTACACTCTAAGTCACCACTTTTAGCGCTAACTAGGGGATAGGTGATAAGTAGGCGATAAAAAAATTGGCTTTTTAGTAGAACTAGGATACTTTTCTCATGATGACACACTTTGTTTCCTAAATTCTTTACAACAGTATTACTTTTAAGGCTTCCTTTATTGCAAGATTTGTGTATGGTGAGACTTTATCAAAAGATACCACCATTTCATTTTCCTCTGTTTATATTCTGCACCTGTAGAATCTAAATTCAGAAAAGCAAATGAAGATTGCAGATCAGGAGCCATAACATCCAAAAGAAAAAGAAAAACTCTCAGCAACATGGCTTATACCAATACTGAACAACTGTTTGTAGGTTAGGGGACAGCTGTGTGTGTAAAATTAAGCATGCGTATTAAGTCTTTGAAGGATCAGGACCCCATTCTTTACCTGCAGTATCTCTATGATGTTAACGAAGTGTAAATTACTAGGGCTGTCAAATTAATCGCAATTAACTCACGTGATTAACTAAAAAAATGAATCACAATTAAAATATTTAATCACGACTAATCACACGTTTAATTGCACTGTAAAACAGTAGAATTCCAACTGAAATTTAATAAATACAGTAAAAGCTGTTTTATCCGGCACGTTGGAGAAATGGAGAGTTCCGGTAAATGAAAAATGCCAGTTAACTAAGACGGAGGGAGTTTGGGTGAGGGAGGGGATGTGGGGCTGGGGGTTGGGGCATAGGAGGGGGTGCGGGGCGTGGGCTCTGGGCAGGAGTTTTGAGTGCGGGACGGGGCTTGGGGCAGTGGATTGGGACGCAGGAGTGGGTGCGGGACGCTGGATCCGGGGGGTGCTCACCTCAGGCAGCTCCCCACAAGCGGTGACCAGTCCTGGATGCTCTTAGGCAGAGGCGCGGCAGGCGGCTCCGTGTGCTGCCCCCACCCCGCCCTGAGCACTAGCTCTGCAGTTCCCATTGACTGGGAATCACGGCCGATAAGAGCTGCGGGGGTGGTGCCTGCGGGTGGAGACAGCGTGCAGACAGCATGCAGCCTGCCATGCCCCCGCCTAGGAGCAGCTGGGACAGGTCACCGCTTCTCGGGAGCCGCCCGATGTGAGCACCTCCCAGATCTGGCCCCCTGCACCTCCTCCTGTGCCCCAACCCCACTCCTGCACCCAAACTCCCTCTCAGGGCCCGTGCTCCACACCCCCTCCTACGCCCCAACCCCCTGCCGGCCCCACGCCAACCAGACAATAAACTGGAATTTCAATTAATATCAGAAATGCCAGTTTATAGAGCTTTCCAGTTGATGAAGTGCCAGGTAAAATAGCTTTTACTGTATTTGTGGGTGTTTTTCTACATTTTCGAATATACTGATTTTAATTACAACACAGATTACAAAGTGTATAGTGCTCTCTTTATATTATTATTTTTATTACAAATATTTGCACTGTAAAAAGATGAAAAGAAATAGTATTTTTCAATTCACCTGGGACAATTACTGTAGTGTAATTTCTTTGTTGTGAAAGTGAAACTTACAAATGTAGTTTTTGTTTGTTTGTTACATATCTGCACTCAAAACAAAACAATTTGTTTACCTTTACAGGAGATAATGCTGCCCACTTATTATTTACAATGTCACCTGAAAGTGAGAAGAGGCGTTCGCATGGCATTTTTGTACTGCAAGGTATTTATGTGCCACATATGCCAAACATTTGTATGCCCCTTCTGCTTTGACCACCATTCCAGAGGACATGCTTCCATGCTGATGATGCTCATTGTAAAAATGTGTTAATTAAATTTGTGACTGAACTCCTTGGGGGAGAATTGCATGTCTCCTGCTCTGTTTTACCCACATTCTGCCATATATTTCATGTTATGGCAGTCTTGGATGATGACCCACCACATGTTGTTCATTTTAAGAACACTTTCACTGCAGATTTGACAAAACACAAAGAAGATACCAATGTGAGATTACGAAAGATAGATATAGCACTCGACCCAAGGTTTAAGAATCTGAAGTGCCTTCCAAAATCTGAGAGGCAGAAGGTGTGGAACATGCTTTCAAAGTGTTAAAAGAGAAATACTTTGATGTGGAAACTACAGAACGCGAACCACCAAAAAAGAAAATCAACCTTCTGCTGGTGACATCTAACTCAGATGATGACAATGAACATGCATCGGTCCACACTGTTTTGGATCGTTATCGAGCAGAACCTGTCATCAGCATGGACGCATGTCCTCTGGAATGGTGGTTGAATCATGAAGGGACATATGAATCTTTAGTGCATCTGGCACATAAATATCTTGCGACGCCAGCTACAATTGGCATGCAAACGCCTGTTCTTACTTTCAGGTGACATTGTAAACATGAAGCGGGCAGCATTATCTCCTGCAAATGTAAACAAACTTGTTTGAGCGATTGGCTGAACAAGAAGTAGGACTGAGTGGACTTGTAGGCTCTAAAGTTTTACATTGTTTTATTTTTGAATGCAGTTATTTTTTGTACATAATTCTACATTTGTAAGTTCAACTTTCACGATAAAGAGATTGCACTATGGTACATGTATTAGGTGAACTTTTAAAAATACTATTTATTTTGTTTTTTACAGTGCAAATATTTGTACTAAAAATAATAATATAAAGTGAGCACTGTACACTTCGTATTCTGTGTTGTAATTTAAATCAGTATATTTGAAAATGTAGAAAATATTCCAAACTATTTAAATAAATAGTATTCTATTATTGTTTAACAGTGCGTTTAATCACTTGACAGCCCTATAAGTCGTCTTAGCTAGGTCTCTCAGCAGTATGAAAAATCCAAACCCATGAGCAGCACAGTTAAACGGACATAATCCCTGGTGTGGGCAGTGCTACATCAATGAAAGAATTCTTCCATCAACCTAGCTACCACCCCTCGGGGATTCCCTACACAAACGGGAGAACCCCTCCAATCAGTGTAAGTAGTGTCTACACTGAAGCGCTACAGCGAAGCAGCTGTGATGTTGTATCATTTTAAGTGTAGACATCCCCTTAGGCATGTGAGTAAGTTTACAACTATTGTCAATAAAGTTACTTATGTGCACAAGGCCTGGTCTACACTAGGAATTTACTTCAGCATAGCTGCTTCTCTCAGGAATGTGAAAAATCTATACCACTGAGAGGGCAAGTCTACACTACAGCCAGGATCAATGCTCTGAGATCAATCCACCAGCAGTCAATTTAGCGGATCCAGGAAAGATCACTCTCCAGTCAACCCCTTCACTCTACCCCCGATGAGAAAAGTAAGGTAAATTGATGGGAGATTTTCTCCCTGTGGTAACTCGACCTAAGGTATGTTGACTCCAGCTACATTATTCACGTAGCTGGAGTTGCATAGCGTAGGTTGACTTACCGCGGTAGTGTAGACATAGCCAGAGATGTAGCTATCCCAACCTAACTCCCAGAGTCACAGCACTGCCCTTGAAGAATTCTCCCATTGATCTAGCTACTGCCTCTCAAGGAGGTGGATTATCTACATAAACAGCTGCACCACTGTAGCAGTTTAAGTTTAGACATACCCCAAGCCCTTGTAGGTTTGAGTCTATGCACAGAAGATACATTCATAGGTTCCTACAAAGTCCACCCATTAATAGAACTGGAAGGAAAGCTATTTTTCTCTTTAACTGATAATCCTTGTTTGCATTGAATAACCAAAATACCACTAAAAAGTGCATTTATATACAAATTATTGAACAGTATTATTCAAAAGTTTGTTATGAGCAGTCACTGAAGAATGTTTATGATTTAAATGCATAGTCTGTTTTTTCTTGTAGATGTTTTTAATCAAACTGAATAAACATTGTAATTCTTTATCATTTGTGACATCTTTAGACACTAGAACATAGCAAAAGAAACTTTTTTTCAGTAAATAACAAAGAGCAAGTACAAAGGGAAAATAAATGATACAACACAGCATGAACACATTTTAGAAAATTCCAAGTTTCCTATCAGTGTGCGTCAGAAAGAGAACCAT